TGGCTGGGTTTTTTCAGCCCTCCCAACCTCCCACCATTCCTGGCATCTACTCACCGCTGGTGTTTCTCGGTGAGTAGCTGCTCCTCAAATGAGGAAATCTAATGTAAATGTACTGCGCATGTGTGCAGTTCAGAGCTGGCTCAAGAGCTACTCTTAGAGCCTCTGAGAGTGACCGGTAGATTGCGATCTACTGGTTGGTGACCACGGCTATAGACTATATTAAAAATGGCTGTGCTAACCCCTTATTAAACAGCATTTGTAACAGTCTTGAGCAACACGATGCCTTTACTGGTAGCTGTACATCCCTAGACTCCCATAAGAGGTTTTCAATGGTTTTATGAACTATAGCAGAGGTGGGCAATAAGCAGCCCACAAGCCAGATGCAGTTCGCCTGGGTTAGTCCCCAGCAGGCCACAGGATGCTTGATTTATTTATCTATTGCTTTGATTCAGGAGCATACAGTGAACCATTTTCTTTACCTCAGCAAAATTGGGATTTCTTTCATGGATGCATCTGAAAATTTCTTTTTTCCCATGAGCCATTTGTGCTGGCCTTTCTATCACAAGCATAAATGTTCAAACTATTTTTCTTTATACCTTTCAGTTAAATTACTCCCTTTGCTTGCCACTTTTGGTTGAGCTGCCTTGACTCGAAATATTCCTAACCTTGGATTCTGTTATGCCCTGATTTTTCTGGCCAGTTTTCCTTTGACTGCTATAAGAACAGTCCGTAACAGTGTTAACTCCAACCAGTGTCCTCCTCCCTCTCCTGCCCCCACACGTGCACACTCTTTTCCCAGCTCATAAATGTAGTAGCATGAGAGAGGGATATTAATAAAGTACTGACCTAGCTATCGCCCTTGGAATTGTGAATCTAGCATCAAGTCCAAAGTGAAATTAGTCTCAGCTCAGTGGCTAATGCACTCTGGTTCATGTTGTGTAATGCAACACATAATTCAGTAGAGTACACACTGGCATGATTGATGATCTCTCTGTTTTGGGAGAACAATACGGAAACTGAATTGCCATTAATTTTTTAAAAATATAAATATTCATTAAATATTTATAACTTAATATAGCAGAGCCTTCATGGCTTGTTTGCTTCATTTTACTTGTGCCATTCTTTTTAGTTTGGTATTTTGGGCCATAGTCCTTCAGAGTACTAAGTGAAATGAGTTTTGCAGTCTCAGTTCAATCTTCAGTTTTAGCAGAATAATTAGCACAGTTACAAGTCACTGCTCATCAAAGGCTTAAATTAGTGCTGCTATGGAGTCTAAACTCTGACCCAAAGAAATACTCAGTCTGTTTTACATGCTTTGCAACTATTGCAAGGGTTTTTGGTTTTTTGTTTTTTTCATTTTAAGCATAAGTAACTAGATATTTTTATCCAAGAGCTCTCCGGAGTCATTTGTTTTTAGGAAACTTAACAATGAACGTTAATTGGAAACTTGTAATAAAACTTCTCCCGTTGAGACTTAAGTCTGGTTAACTAGTTTTCTTAACTAGCATGTTTTCCCACATAGACTCCCTCCATTTAGTTGTGAGAAAATATGAAATTGGTATCTTTGACGTGCTTTTGAATTCATTCAGAAAACATACTCCACTTTCCTTAGTGAAGAAATTCTCAAAGGTATAGAACAAATAGCAGTAAAGATGCAAAAAGAGAAATTAAGGTGGCTTATCACTTTTCAGACTATGCAAAAATTATATATAATTAAAATTATTTAATACAATTAATGTATGCATAGCCTGAAAAGTGATAAGTTGATTTTTAATTTCTCATTGTCCATGTATAGATATGTTTGAATGGGGGTAGGAAAGTAGTGGCATGTTCCCAAGCTCAAGCCAAGTTCTTTCTACATGGGACACCAAAATGATTAGTCACAGTAGATTGTACAGATGTTCCAAATAGGATCAAGCCTGCCCTGTTGTGCTTTAACAGAGAAGTCAAACCTGAAGATACTAGCAAAGTTTGACTGTACTCATGACCAATACTAAATAAAGTGCAGGTCTACACTTACTGGGAGATTGGCACTGTGGCAACTGACCACCTGGGGGTCGATTTAGCCACTTAATTGACCGCTGATCGATCTCTCTCGTATACCATGGTCCTCCACAGCAATGAGAAGCATAAGGGGAGTTGATGAGAGAGTTTCTCCTGTCGATCCCCCTGCAGTGGAGACGCAGCGGCAACTTGATCTAAAGTACGTTGACTCCATCTACGCTATTCACATAGATGGAGTTGTAAATCTTAGGTCGACACTGCCCCTCAAGTGTAGATCTACCCAAAGGTGTAAGTGTGATTTATTTACAGGGTGATCTAAATAAAAGTTGTACTGTTTTACCAGTGCAATTAGAGGAACGCTTTCTCCCCATGCTAAATGCATTAAACTTAGGACTCTATCAAATTCACAACCCTGAAAAACAGGTCACACACTGTGAAATCTGATTTCTTCTGTAATAGGGATGTTAAATTGCTGTAATCTGGTAAGTGTATAGCTGACAAATATTTTGTGTTATGGTTACCCGATTAGCAGCTCTGCATTGAAAGTGGCTTGGGAGCCAGCAGGCAGACAGGCTGGCTCAGTCTTGGCTTGCGCCAGATCCCAACAGCTAGTCCCTCTGCAGCTCTGAAAGAAGAGTTATTTAGGAGCCAACGCTAGTCCCAGCTCATAGAAGAATAGTGTTGGAAGAGACTTCACAACAACATCTAGTCCAGGGCTGCTGAACAAGTGCCCATTGGGCCCCATGCGGCCTGCGGCCCGTTTGTGTGAGGCCCGTGGTGCAGTTTGAGTTTACACAGGTCTCAACATGTGGCCTGCGGGTGGGATCCTTTGAACATGGCCTCCACTGGGAACATGATCCACAACGGCAAAGCATCTCCCAGGTGGGGTGAGCATTGAAAGACACAAGTGGATGGGCTGGCTGTAACAGACGGGTACAGAGTGTGGGCATTTCTAGCCCCCAGGGAGGAGGTGCTGGGAGCTCCAGGGCATTGTGGGAAGTGCTGGCTGCTTAGCCTTGTGGGCAGAGCCTTAGAGGTGTTGACTGGCTCACAGTGGCCATGTTTGTGTCCGGTGCTGCAGCTTAAGGCTCAATCTTTGTATTCATGCCTGTTAGTGTGAAAGAAGCTATTTGCATATATATTTTGATATACAGGCAGTCCCCGGTTTACGTACAAGATAGGGACTATAGGTTTGTTCTTAAGTTGAATTTGTATGTAAGTCTGAACTGGCTCCAGATTCAGCTGCTGCTGTTGCTGAAACTGACCAGGGGCTGACTACAGGAAGCTGGAGGCAGAATTGCTCTGCCCCCCGCTTCCTGGAATCAGCCACTGATCAGTTTCAACAGCGGCTGAATCTGGAGCCTGGGACAGAACAGCCGGGGGG